AAGTTCGAATGGACAGTTTTTTGCCAGCATGATTTCAAGACATTGAAAGAAAAATTGACATCAGCTTCATTTTTAAAGCTTCCAAATTCCTCATTGCCATACATACTGGATTGTGATGCTAGTAATGTTGGAATTGGAGGAGTGTTGTCTCAGAAAGTGGGCAAAAACAAACATGTGGTTAGGGTCCTCAGTCGACCAGAGAGGAACTACTGTGTAACACGTAGGGAACTTCTTGCTATAGTAAAGAGTCTGACATATTTCCATCCATACCTCTATGGGGCTAGGTTTACCATCAGGACAGACCATGCTGTATTACGCTAGTTAAGATCATTAAAGAACCTGGAGGGACAACTGGCACATTGGATTGGAAAGATAAATCAGTATAATTATGATACTGAATACAGAGAAGGAAAATCTCACGGAAATGCTGATGGACTGGGCTGAAGACCCTGCAAAAATGACTGAAGATATTGCAGCAAAAGAAAAGTTGAACTAACCTGGTGCCATCAAGCTGTAGTCAAAGTGACTGAATGAGTTGATGATGGTGAAGTGGAACCAGGTATAGATATTAAAGCAGAACAGGAGAAAGACCAAGATTTGAAGACAATCATTGATTTTATAAAAGCAAGTGTTTTGTACCCTGCTTGGGAGAAGATGTCTTGTCTAAGCCCTGTGACAAAGAACTATTGGGCACAATGGGACCAGTTGAAGGTTAAAGATGGTATTTTTCTTCAGAGATGGGAAAGTGATGACGTGGAAAACAGTTATACCGAGAAAGTTCTGGGAAGTTGTGCTGCATCATTTCCATGATAGTTTAACAGGAGGACATCTCCGAGTTAGGAAGACATTGAGTCACCTACGTCAGAGATTTTACAGGATAGGTATGAGGCAAGATGTGGAAGAATGGTGCAGGACATGCTGTACATGTTGTGCTAAAAGGGGACCCAAGCATAAGGGACGTGCTCCAATGAAGTTATATCAAGTTTGTGCACCAATGGAAAGAGTAGCCATTGACATTGCTGGTCCTTTGCCTCACACTTGTGCTGGAAACAGGTACATTTGTGTGGTGATGGATTATTTCACCAAGTGGCCTGAGGCATATGCAATACCAAATCAGAAAGCTACAACAGTAGCTTTGGCTATTAGTGATTTATTCTTCAGATTTGGTATGCCATACGAACTGCATTCAGATCGAGGCCGTAACTTTGAATCGGCTGTGTTCCAAGAATGCTGCAAGTTGTTTGGCATACAAAAGACCAGAACAACGCCACTTCACCCACAGTCTGATGGGATGGTAGAAAAGTACATCTGGACACAGGGACAGAAATTGGCAAAGTTTTGTAATAGCTGCCAAGATGACTGGGATGTCTTACTCACTCCACTGTTGATGGCCTATAGAACAGCAGAGCATGAAGCCACTGGATATACTCCAGCAAAGTTGATGTTTGGTCGGGAACTTCGATTGCCAGTGGATCTGTTAACAGGACGCCCACCTTACGAACAGTTGCCTGAAAATGTGTCAGAGTTCGTGAAAGTGTTATCAGAAAGGATGGATGATATTCACCATCAAGTGCGTTGAAACTTGAAAATGTCTGCTGATTCCATGAAGCTATGTTATGATAAGAGATCTACTGAAGTCAACTTTGTACCAGGAGACAAGGTGTGGTTGTATAATCCCAGGAAGACCAAAGGGAAGTCTCCTAAGTTGTCTTCTCCATGGGAAGGCCCATTTGACACAGCAGAAAGTCAGAGAGAGTGGAGAGGGCTTTCTTTGACAAATTTATTGATATCTCAACTAATCTAGAAGTTTATATTTTAGATTCTTACTTGTCATTATGTATAATTTGTGTTTTTAATTGGTTAGAAACTACAGAAGCCTATTTTTGGTGACCAAATATTTTGTTTAGAAATTAAGAATTTAAACTTATATAATATAAAATCTATATAAAGTATAAACTACATTTGCCAATTTTCCTGACATACATTGATAACAAAGTTGTTTAATTAAATTTTGAATGTAATACTGTAAAAGGTTGTGACAAACACAAAATAGTTAGGCCTGTATGCTGAGGGTTAAGCACCAGTTTTGCCAGGAATTAATATTTTCATTGTGGCCTTGACATCCTGCAACCTCTGATAAATAACTATCAGTTTTTGTTTCTCCACATTTGGTAAGTTTGATTTTTAAAACTTATTTTTTATTTTATTTAAACTCCCCCCAACCTCTGTTTAATTTCTTACAGACAAGCATGCATTATTGATGTTTTGTCATTACAACACAACACAAGAAATTTTCTTAATTTTTTTCCTTTAGTATAATTTTCTTGAAAATAAATTACTTGAAAAATATAGCATCTTCCAAATAAATTACTTCATTAAAGAACATCTAGAGAATATATAAAATACCAAAACAATGAAGTGAGAGCTTATTACAGGGAAGTCAATAATAATCATAGGTTTATATTATAAAAAACTCATTTATCATATTAACTTATTATTTTAATATGAAACTAACTGTGTCAATTAAAGAAGAATTAAAAGGTATTTTGCTATATGTGATATTTAAAAATAAGTAAGGGAATATATAAAAACAGATGAAGTTGAAAATTAATGTTTCTAACTAAAGACAGTATCTGCAACCATTTTTCTTTTATCTAAGATTAAATTTTGATACCATAGTTAAGACCTTGTAAAGGCTGGAATGAGGTGTGATATCAGAATACATAAAAAAAATACCTTTACTACAGTTCCATTTAAGACAGAAGAATGATTTATAAAAAAAAACTGCCTTCTAACAACTGGCCATACTCCCTACTGCACTTAAATCATTTGCTTTAGACAAATGATTTGTCAGAATAAAAAGCTTTAGGATAACAAAATAAAAAATAAAATAACCTCCATCTCTTTGGAGGCCCATAATTCATCAATTTTTTAGTGAAATCATCAGTACAGTTGCATAAGTATTGCAAGCATAAAGTACACAAGTAAGGAATTAATTTTTTATGTACTCCATGAAGCTTGCTAGGTTAAACTTCCTTCTCATGATTTGTTCAAATTCTTATTCTTCACTCAAAAATTGGACATATTTCTCCTAGACTTCCTTTACTAACATTGTAAAGATCAAACATGTCCTTCCCTTAGTCATAAGAAAGAAACTCCTTCCTCATCTCATTGACAACATTAGTAGTACACTGTCAAATAATAATTTTTATTGTTTTATTATTACTATATTTATTTCTTCAACACTGCTAAGTGTTCTATTATTATTCACTTCTTACAGTATACAATATTCTTACTCCCTTTCACAAACTGGCAAGAGTCCTAAATGTTCCTAGGTTACTTAGAAATATCCTTTTCATGATTCCTTCTAAATTGTTCTTGAAAAATAAAACAACAATATTTCCCTTTTCAAACAAATGCACAATTTTTTCTATAATTACAAAAAAATTGTTTTCACCAAAACAGTAAACATTTAATTTTCATTTAGTTTCAAGAAACCTACAGCACTTCTTCCTAATAACAACTACTACTTCTTAGGTTGCTACTGTTACTTTTTCTTTAATGGACACAGTCAAACACATCAACACTTAAATAAATTAACTTTTTTAGAGTTTATACATACACATTTTGAAACTTCTGATAATCAACCAAATTACATGTACATCAGTAGGTGGTACAAGATTGAAAAAAATAACCATGTAAACATACAGTTTTAGTACAGACAAAAACTTACTTACAACAATTCCTTACAAAATGTCATTTCATTTGAAAACAGAATTGTTACTGTAAAGGGAAGTGTATCTTAAATAAAAGAAATTCAATTATGATATTTTTATTATTATGAAAACTACCTAGAAAAGTTCTACAAATATTTTATCATAAGTATCAAAATTCATGTACAAATTTTCTGATGTCAAACATTATTCATTATGCACGTCTTCAAAAGTTAACTATACTTTGTGCTTAGATAAAATTAAAACCTCACTATTTAGGTCTTCAAAAGTTAACTATATACTTTGTGTTTAGATAAAACTAAAACCTCATTATTTAGGTCTTCAAAAGTTAACTATATACTTTGTGTTTAGATAAAATTAAAACCTCACTA